GTAGTGATCCTCCTGTTTACAGCCTCCCAAGAGCTGGGATTACAGGCATGCACCACCACCCCCAGTCTCAGCATGCCCCAAGAGCGGGGCCGGCATGGCAGGACAGGGGATTGAACCCCCAGCCTCTGCACCTGCTTGCAGGCAATTTAACCCGCTGAGCTATTTGGCCTGCCCAATTTTTTTTTTTTTAATTTTCAAGCATTATTTATTTATTTGGTATGCGTCTCCCTACGCAGCTTGGACTCGTAGCAATCAGCCTGTCTCAGCCTCCCCAGCACTGGAGTTTTGCCTCCACGCCTGGTTTCAGTGGCCGTAATGGTGCGTCCGGGGTCTGGGCCGGCACGGCATGTGGTGCTGGGGATCGAACTTGGGACCTTGCACTTGCCAGGCGGGTGCTTAGACCGCTGAGTTATCTTCCCAGCCCCCATATAATATAATTTAATAAAATACTGCTTTAAAAAGCCTTAGAGAGCAGGGAGATTGTTCAGCGGCATAAGTGTCTCCCTGGGAAGCACAAATTTCGATTCCTGGTATGGAAAAAAAAATGCCTCAGTATGTGTAGAACATTTTGGCAGCATCTTAGGGATTTTAGAACTTTAGGGAGAACGAGAGCAAGGGTACATCTGCTGGGACTGGTTGCAGAGCAGCAGCCAATCAGCAGCGAGGAGAACTGACTCTTGCTCTCGGATTGGCTACTTGCATAACAACAACATAACAAAAAACAAATCTCTGAGGGTATTTGCGGTTTCCACAACACTGTAGGGGTTTGCGGACAATTATTAGTTTGGTTCTAGGGAAAAATCTACGAAGGACAGAGGAGACAAACTCTGAACCGCAACTTCCTGTGTGTGTGTGCGTGCGCGTGTATTGTATTAGCATAAACAGGGTAGAATAAACAAGACTGACATTCTAATCTAGGCTGCTCTGAAAAACAGCCTGTTTTAGGTCAAATGCTTCACAATCTGAATTTTACTGCCTCCATCTGTGAAGTTATACATAAATATCATGTAATAAAATAGGAAACCTTAAC